TCTCAGCTCACTGCAACCTTCACCTTCTGGTTTCAAGTGATTTCTCCTGCCTCAGCCTCCTGAGTAGCTGGGATTACAGGCATTCTCCACCACACCCAGCTAATTTTTGTATTTTTCAGTAGAGACAGGTTTTCACCACATTGGCCAGGCTGGTCTCGAACTCCTGACCTTGTGATCTGCCTGTCTCGGCCTCCCAAAGTGCTGGGATTACAGGCATGAGCCGCCACACTCGGCCTTTGTTATTAATACTTTTAATGCTCATACTGTCAAATGCTTAGCAAGTTGGATCCCCTTTAGGCTGGCTCCCTTCTGATATGCTCCCATAATTTTTTTTTAAACCAACACTTTCTTGCTTTCTGGTTCAAGATATTTCAGACCCATCAAGTAGCATCCCTGCTCCAGCACAGGAATCAGCCATTTCTCCAAGGATCCTTCTTTCCTTATCATGGGGAAGGGTATTTAGAAACCAAAATCTTAGCACTAGATGTTTTAATTGTTACTGAGGTGTCTGCTTCCAGGCCCTTTTTGAGGAAAGAGCTAGGAAAGCTACACACACAGAGATGCATACACACACACACACACACACACACACACACACACAGAGACTTGTCTATACATGTCATAGAAATTCTGCAGTTATACTGATACTTTCAATATCAATCCCACTCCACGAGGTTCTTTGTTGCCTTCCCCCCACCCACTCCATCTTTGAATCTCGCTTCTTCCACAATGAGAATTCTGCCTTTCAACAGCATCAGAACACTGACTCATATTCCCAGTCCTAAAACACACATAAAATCATTTCAGAATTGCTACACCCTAATCACCATACATATCAAATCAAATCAAGTAAAAAGAAATTAAGATGCATTTGAAGTTCTTTATTTTTTTTCCCTAGAGTAAAAGTATATTATCAAAGTGTTGTCTTTAAAGTTACTTGAATTAGTTCTTTGCCCCCGCAACCCCTGCATAATGTTATCCATTTTGTAGAGATTTATGCAGAGAAGTATCACTGCCTTCTCTATCACTTCTGTCTGGTTTTCCCTCACCTTTTGTAGGTAAGTCATTTCATTGTCTTCTGGTTTATTTTTCCTGTGTTTCTTTTTCCAAAAAAAGAGCAGACTTGTGTATTTTCTTATTTCTCCTTGCTTACACAAAAGGTAGCATATTGTAGATACTCTTCTACAATTGGCTTTTTAAAAAAACTTACCTCCTGAAGTTCATATAAATACCTTTTAGTGAAATTGATTAGTACTCTGTTGTGTGAAGTACTCTAAGGTATTCAGATAGTTCCCAATATTTTGCTATTACAAATAATGCTGCAGTTAAGAAACTTATATGTATGTACTTCCTTTATTATTATTATTATTATTATTATTTTGACAGAGTCTGTCTCTGTCTTCCAGGCTGGAATGCAGTGGTGCAATCTTGGCTCACTGTAACTTCCACCTCCCAGGTTCAAACAATTCTTGTGCCTCAGCCTCCTGAGTAGCTGGGAGTGCCAGCACACCTGGCTAGTTTTTGTATTTTTGGTAGAGATGGGGTTTTGCCATGTTGGCCAGGCTGGTAAGTAACCTATGGCCTCAAGTGATCTGCCTGCCTCAATCTACAAAATTGCTGGTGTTACAGGCGTGAGCCACTACATCTGACCTGTATTTTGGTATTTTGAAGATATATCTTCATGATATATTCCTGGAATTAGGATTGCTTAACTGAAGAGTAAATGTCTGTGTGGTTTTGTTAGATATTGACAAATCCCCCTTCATGGGGCTATACCATTTTGCATTTCCATGGTCAGTGTATGAGAGTGCACATTTCCCTAGAATCTCTTCAGTGGAATATATTATCAAGCTTTTGAATAGGTGCTAATCTGGTGAGTGAGAAGACTCTCTGTGTAGTTTCAGTTTTAATTTCACAAGTGAAATTGTACATCTTTTTCTATGTTTAAGGGCCATGTTTATGTCTCTTTTGGGGAATTTTTCCTGTTTTTTGCCCACTTGAAGATAATAGTGTCAGTGTGTCCTCAATTTTACATATTCTTATGTAATAGGGATATTAACTCTGTATCTGTGATAAATACTTCAAATATTTTCTTCCAGTTTGTTATTTATCTTTTAACTTTGTTTATGGTTTTTGCCACTTGCTTTTTTTGTAGTCAGATCTATTAAGCAGTTCTTCTCTTTCCATGTGCCTGTTGAGGTATAGTTAGAAATGTACCTACAATCAAATTTTAGAGAGATTCATTTCTGTTTTATTCTGGCACTTGCATAGTTACATTTAGACCTTGAATCCATTTGGCACTTACTCTTATATGTGTGAGAAGTGAACATAATTTTATCTTTTCCCCAACTGTCTATCCAGTTGCCCCACCACCTTTATTTAAAAGCCCATTTGTTCCCTAAGATTTGAGATAATACCATCTCTGTCTTAGTGTAGATTTCCATATGTTGTTGGGTCTGTTTCTGGACTCTCTATTCTGTTTTATCTGTTCATGTGCCAGTACCACACTGTTTTTAAAGCAGAGACTTTATAGTATGTTTTAATGTGAGTATGGCTGGTCTCTGTTACTTCATCTCACTCCCCCCATCCACACACTATATTTATTCCTTTTCAGTATTTCCCTACCATGTTTATTTCTCCATATAAACTTTGGTAGTAATTCAGCTAGGTACAGAAAGAAAAGGGATTGCTGTTTCATTGGAATTTTATCAAATTTATAAATTATCTTTGAGAAAACTGACATCCAAATACCATTGAGACATCCTAACAAAGACCTCAAGATGTCTTTCTATTAGGTCACCTCTACCTTTGTGTCTTTCAGGAATATTTACAATTTTCTTCATTTAGGTTTTGAACACTCTTTAAGCTTATTCCTAAATATTTTATTTTTCTTATTGCTATTATAAATGGGGTTCTTTGCTTTATATTTTCTAACTGGTTATTTTCATGTATATGAAAGTTATTGATTTTTTATTTTTGCAATTATTAAAGTATTTTAAAATATAACTAATTTTATTGCTTGTAAGTATATAACCTCAGCATTTTTAGTGCTTCAGAGTTTACAAAGTATTTTTGCAATATATCTTTTAGTTAGTGCATATGATAACTTGATCTAGTAAAACAAAATGCCTCCTAATAGAATATATTGCTTTAATAAAATGACCTATAATTAGTTATTAATTGTATGCTGTAATGTAGTCATTATTTTTCTTAAATACTTCAAAATTATCTACTTCAATGGTAACAAATGTTTAATTTTCAAAACATAATAAAGAGGGCAAAGATAAGCTTCAGCCCAGATCTTGCCCAAATTTTCTCAAAGGTTCAAAATTATGAGCCTTTTAATAGTATGTGCTACACATGCCCAATAAATATTATCCTAGTGGTATCAAACATTCTTGCTTATTCTGTGGGTTGATGGAGCCAGAGGGAGGTGGACTTCCCTGACCATCTTTCAGTTTCATTGCATTTGCTCCCAATGCCTTCCAGCAGGCTGACCCTTCTGTGCTAGCTGAATGTCTTTGATTTTATTGCTGTAATAGAAGACCTGAAACTGGATAACTTGAAAGGAAAGTAGGTGATTTAGCTCATGATTCTGGAGTCTGGAAAGTCCAAGATTGTGGGTCTATATCTGGTGAGGGCCTTGTGCTGCTTCATAGCATTGTGGAGAAGCAGGAAGGGGAGACAAAGTGTGCCAACCTGTTTTACAACCTGCTTTTTGAGAACGAACCAAGTTCCATGAGAACTGCTTTAATCTCTTCATGAGGGCAAAGCCCCCATGACCAAACACCGTCAACGAGGTCCCACCTCCCAACACTGCTATACTGAGGAACCATGGTTCTCACACATGAACTTTTGGAAAACACACTCAAACCATAGCACTGAACTATCAATATTTATTTGCAGAGAAAGTCCATAAAATCTGCAAATGCTACAAAACCTAGAAATCTTTTCACAAATTAAATGGTAGATATCGCTCCAGCCCTTGCATCCATTTAAAACACAGCAGTAAGTACACATGGAAGTTATTTATTTAGTTGTCAGACACCGTTTACTCAACAGGTGGATTTAGTGGCCACTTTGGAAGAACTCCTCACATACCCCTTTCCCCGAGGACCCCAAGACCACAGATCGAGTCCCCCTACACTGTATCATGCTCTCAGAAATGTTACCTACAACTTGTTACAACTATTCACAGACACATACGGCTGCAATATCAGATTTTTCAACACGATTGGCTTCCTAAGCATAGCATAAACGCTTCTTTTTAAAATCTTATCTGATTTTATCTTACATGAAAGGTGGTACGTTACCAGTTTTACTATGTTTTTTACTTTACTTGATGATTTCTTTAAGCTTATTCTCCTCTGTAGTCTATGTGGCCAGAAGAACGCCTAGCATACTTTTCAAACTCTTCTTTAGGATTTTTTTAAGGTCTATATAAATTTTTAAGTATAGGAATCTCAATAGAGTAAAACCATTTTCTATTTGACAAAATAAAATAAATCTAGATACTTCAAATTTGAAACCCATATGCCTGTAAGACATGAATTCCATCAAGATGATAAATTGCATGCTAATCATATCCATCTGTAGTACTTAGAGGGAGATAGTGAGCAGAAGGTTAGCACTAAATCTTTATTATAATTTGAAGAGATTTATTGAAGAACCCATATCATACTCCTAGTAGTACATAACCACTGCACCAAAACAAACAAACAAAGAAACAAATTTCAAAGAATAAATGAATTCAAGAGAACATCATGGAATGCTTTGCTATATTCATTCATTTATTCATTCAGTGCATACTGAGCACCAGTCCTATACCAGACATCTAAGACCATGGTCTTAGATGTTGGGACACTGCAGTCAGCAATGTAGACACAGTGATCCAGGAGCTTATAGTCTATATAAGACTATTTTTGCTGCATTGGCTCTAAAATATATAAAAAAGAACTCCTTCGTTTATAAGGCAGATAATTTTGTCAATATCCAAGCACATTTGAAAGAGACTTCCTCGTACATAAACTACTTCCTGTTGCTATGTGCAATGCTATGTTGGACAACTATTTTCAGGCCATTAGTTCTACAGTAAATAATTTCCTCTTTAAATTTAGTTTGTTTTGTAAAAGTTTTAAAAGAATTAATGTACAAGAAACAGCGAGGAACTAGCTTTTAAATGAATAAATATGGCTTGCAGCATTGTGAAGGAGCATGTGAGGAATGTTTGGCTCTGCAGAAGGCAGCAGGTCTTCTCCAGTCTCAGGGGTGAACATCCAAGTAGACTGAGTTGCATTATCTATTAGAATTTATCACTGCTCCTGTAGATGCAATAATCATGATGAAAAAGGATCCTTCACAGCACAGCTTCCTCCTCTCTGAAACAAGAAAGACTTGATTCGAACAAGATTGAGATAAATGAGTATCTAAAATCCCAGTCCTTCCTCACCTGCTAGAAGCTGAGAGCCTGATAGGACAATAAGAGGAGATAATTACAGCTCCTATTTCCCTGACACTCAGCCCACACCCAAAGCTGACTATTGAAAGGAAAATCCTTCTCATCCAATGACATCATATAATCATATGTGAAACAATGGAAAGTGCTGAATAGAGACCTTTATACAATTCTTCCAAGGTAATCTGACAGGCTAAAGAGACAGTATGTTTCCCAAGCTGTGTTTCCTACCCATGGTATGAAGATGTTGGAATGACTTTATGATCTGGGTTCAACCAAGGCTCCAGTTTCATCTCGTCCCTCCCCATAGCAGACCAATGGCTTACTAAAGATTCTTTAGGTTACAACTACCAGAAACCAAACAAGCATTTCTACACAGAAGGGGCATTTATTAAAAGAATATTACCGTATCTCCTGGAATCCAAGGAAGAGGAAAACTCCCCAGGCTCTGGAAGATCCAGGAACTTCCACAAAGGGAAGTTCCATTCCTCTGCCATGAACATGGCTCAGCTCCCAACAACCTTAGTTCTAAATTCCAAAATCGTAAGAAGAAAAATCCAAATGACCCAGTCAATATTTTCTTTCAGACTCAGGCAAGGCTGGCCCCTGCCCTGGGCTCCACACTTCAGAGGGCCCTGGATATGACAAAACCATGAAAAAAAAAATATATTAAAAAACAGATGGGTCTCTTTATCACTGGGATTCTACATGTAGTTCTTGGTGCAACACAAGTGGTAATTCTAAATCCTCAGGGAAACATTTCTCTATGTATCTTGTCTTAGGATCTTGAGTACAAGGCAACCACATTTGGATTACATGAGACTTTCTGGATTGTGCTGCTGTGGATGTTTGAAGCAAACAGTGCTTTAGAGTGCAGGGGAGATTTGTGTAGCTCTTGCACATAGAGAAGAATAAAGGCAAATAAATTAACTTGTAAAATGCATGTTATCAGATACCATAAATAGAATAGATCCCCTTATAATGAAAGTCTGTTTCCCAATAGCGCTGAACATTGATTCTTTTATTTCTCTTCTTGTTACCATTTGCAGCTCCAGAGGCACTTATGATTTTAGGGTGGCATTCATAATAGTTAACATGTAGCAGCTGAGAAACATTTTGGAATGTTAAGCAATTCAGATTGCTTTGAAATTTGTATATATATGGGTCTATAATATCACTTAAACATAGTATAGATTCTTTTAATTGTCAACTAGTTGGACATTAAATGGTAAAATTACAAACAGTATTGTTTTTATGAAACAACAAAATTTTATTAAAATTGTAAAAATTTTAAAATTCAGCTTGATTTAACTAATTTTGAATAAAATTATGAAACCCACCAATTACAATTTGTGTTTTACTGCTTAATTTTAAGAAATGATTTTAGGGCCAGGCACGTTGGCTCATGCCTATAATCCCAGCACTTTGGGAGGCCGAGGTGGGCGGATTACCTGAGGTCTGGAGCTTGAGACCAGCTTGACCAATATGGAGAAACCCTGTCTTTACTAAAACTACAAAATTTACTAAAAATACAAAATTAGCATGGTGGCGCATGCCTGTAATCCCAGCTACTAGGGAGGCTGAGGCAGAAGAATCGTTTGAACCTGGGAGGTGGAGGTTGCAGTGAGCTGAGATCATGCCACTGCACTCCAGCCTGGGTAACGAGAGTGAAACTCCATCTCAGAAAAAAAAAAAAAAAAAAAAAGAAATGATTTTAAATATTGTAGAAGAAAACGCTTCTTTTGGAAAACTACATTTAATTTTTAAAATTGTATATATATTCTTAGTTGTAATTTTGAATGAAAATGTAGTAAAAATACATTTAATTTTTTAATCTTTTAGATCCTTAGGAATGACTACAAGTCAAAATCACAAAAGAAGTAGAAAATGTAAAAGTAACCCCAAAATAGAAAGAAGAAATAAAGAATCTTGATGTTTTCTTAATTTTTTTAAACTCACAATTAAATTGAACAAATGTATGTTAAGCATAATCTACATAAGAGTTATGAATAAGATATTACAAATTCTATATATACTGAGGCTTTACTGACTGTTCAAAAAATGGAAATGTACAAAAAATTGTCCCAGTCAAATCCACAACTTGTATGCCTCTGATGAAATTCCTGCAACTAAGAAAACTCAATAATTCACATTTTAAAATATGAATATTTCTTATCAATTGAAAATTTAATTACTTATCAAAACAAAAAAGATTTGAAACGATATTTATATCAAAATCACAACCCAAAAACATCAAATGCAACTCGGCATTTCCCTTTAAAAGATGCAAAAAAAAAAAAAATTCATGCATTATAAGTTGAATGAGAAAGACAAAATCTCTGGAACTTTACTCTTTATTAGATGATGATTCTAGAAAACAGTCCATGTGGACTTTTTGACAGTGTGAAAATGTTTCTTGCAAAATACACTCTGCTGCAAGTAAATGATTTTGATTTTTCATTGCCTGAACATTGCAGAAAATGTTATACTCCATTTTATATCAAAATTCTCTCAAATGGAGAGAAAAGTGTTAAAACTGACTTTTACGTTTTCACATCAGAAACAAAATACTACGTTACTACTGTCAAATGCGTCACAACTAATCTTCAAAATGAAGGTATTTGTTGCTAACAACACTTAGGATCTCAATCAAAAGAACACAGATATATCAGTTGTGCATGTATACACAAACACAAAACAAAATGTACGATTACTAGAATTTTTTTTAAAAAATTTAAACAGCAAAAATTGATAGCATTCTGTAAAGAAAGACATAGGATATTAGCATGATATATTTTTTAAATGTTATGTATTTCATATTTATCCCAAAGTTTTCATAGCACAAACAACAAACATTTTCAGAAAACAACAGGAATTTTTTAGTTTAAATAGAAATTATTGAGAAATGTTATACTATAATGTTTGAACATGTAAGTCCAATAAAAATAAAGAAACAAATATCAAAGATCAGAAAGTTGTAGATGTGTGGTCTTATTTCTAAGATCTCTATTCTACTCCATTAAAAGGATTCCCTATTTAATAAACGGTGCTGGGAAAACTGGCAAGCCACATGCAGAAAATTGAAACTGGACCCCTTCCTTTCACCTCATACAAAACTCAACTCAAGATGAATTAAAGACTTAAATGTAAAATCTCAAACTATAAAAATCCTAAAAGAAAATCTAGGCAATACCATTCAGCACATAGGCACAGTCAAATATTTCATGACAAAATCACCAAAAGCAATTGCAACAAAAGTGAAAATTGACAAATGGGACCCAATTAAACTAAGGAGCTTCTGCACAGCAACAGAAACTATCACCAGAGTGAACAGACATCCTACAGAATGGGAGAAAATTTTTGCAATCAGTCCATCTGACGAAAGTCTAATAGCCAGAATCTACAAGGAACTTAAACAAATTTACAAGAAAAAGACAAGCAGCCCCATTAAAAATTGGGCAAAAGACATGAACAGCCACTGCTCAAAAGAAGACATTTATGTGGTCAACAAACATATGCAAACAGCTCAACATCACTGATCATTAGAGAATGCAAATCAAAACCACCACAATGAGATACCATCTCAAGCCAGTCAGAATGGTGATTATTAAAAAGTCAAGGAACAACAGGTGCTGGTGAGGCTGTGGAGAAATAGGAATGCTTTTATACTGTTGATGGGAATGTAAATTAGTTCAACCATTGTAGAAGACAGTGTGGTGATTCCTCAAAGACCTACAGAACCATAAATTACATTTGACTCAGCAATCCCATTACTGAGTATATACCCAAAGGAATATAAATCATTTTATTATAAAGATGCATGCATGCATATGTTCATTGCAGCATTATTCCCAGTAGCAAAGACACGGAATCAACCCAAATGCCCATCAGTGATAGACTGGATACAGAAAATGTGGTACATATACACCATGGAATACTATGCGGGCATAAAAGGAACAAGATCACGTCCTTTGCAGGGATATGGATGGAGCTGGAAGCCATTATCCTCAGCAAACTAATAAGGGAACAGAAAACCAAATACTGCATGTTCTCACTTGTAAGTGGGAGCTGAACAATGAGAACATATGGACACAGGGAGGGGAACAACACACACTGGGTTCTGTCGGGGGATCTGTGGGAGGGAGAGCATCCGGATAAACAGCTAATGCATGTGGGGCTTAACACCAAGGTGATGGGTTGATAGGTGCAGCAAACCACCATGGCACATGTTTACCCATGTAACAAACCTGCACAAACGTATGTAGCAAACGTCCTGCATATGTAGCCCAGAACTTAAAATTAAATTTGACTTAATTTTAAAAAGAAAGAAACCAATGATTACTATCTAAAAAGAACCCAAAATAAGATTTGAAAATTTTATGTGTAATAAAGTGAGAAAATAAATCATCCACAAAATAAAAATGCTAAGTTCAACTGTATTGTACCAGAAACAAAATTCATGTTGGAAAATAACTTTTATTATTCAAATGTTTGAACCAACCCCCAAAAATTAAAATTTAAGAGTGTTTAATTTCTTTTATATATGTTGGTAAAAGCTTGGGTTTTGATTAAAATGAGGATATTTAAAAACACAATTTTCAGTGGTAGACATTAAACTGAAAGGTTATCCAGGCGGAGCTATGATAATGGCATCAACATAGTTGCTCTAAAAACGAATGTACAAGACAGAATTTGGGCTAAAATTTAAAAAGCATTCTTTGTACCATATAGTACATGATTTGGATTTGTCACATGAGACAAACCCTCCACTGTGTCAATAGTTCAATAGTGATGACATTTTGTGGAGCAATTCATTATTATATTAGATGTTTTCTGAATATGCTTATCAAATATAACTTTATCACTATACTCAGAAACACAATGAGGATGGCAACTAAATGCTGCTATAGCAATTAAATTTTATTTAAGTAAAATATATGAAATATACTAGAAGAAAGCAAAGTAGTAGAAAATCCCAAATTAAGAGAAAATTCATTATTTGACAGAAAATGAATTAATCTTGAATTTGGTTATTTCGTGTAAACTGATATCTGTTACTGGTTATGTTAGCAAAAGCTTACAACAAACTCAAATTACTTTTGGTTAACTTTTATAAAATTGAAAGTCTAATAAAATGTTAGAAAAAAATGAGCTTTTTTTTTCCAAATTGAAAGAAACAGCAGGTGACATAACAAACATGCGTTCCAATAAAGAAAGGGGAAATAAGAATGTCTGCATATCTGTGAAGGAGAGGATTCATGTATCCATAATCTCTCAGGGAATTTCTATAGAGTTTATTTTCTGAACATATTATAGGTCCAGATATAGTCTTAAATAAAGAGAAATTTCAATACATTGAGTAATATTTTATTGCTATTTTCATTTTTATAATATTACAGCACTGAATTTTTGAAAGAAGAAAAACTTTAGAAGTATTGTATGGATATTGCTGTAAGAGACCATGAAAGTTTTGTGATAGTGACATATGCAATTAAAATAGCTTATAATAGATTCTATGATCATGGCAATTTATTATAGATAGCTCCATGACAATGATTAAACATTGTATGTAAATTTCATTGTTCATTCTGAATATTAAGTATTGCTTTAAGAATTTTATTGACAATTTCCACTGCTGCCTCAGGAGAGTAAAGTTGACCCAAACTGAAAGGAAGAAGAACTGAGAGGTATAATGATTCAAAAAACATGGCTTAATTGGCCTTACTATTGACAGAATACATTTGGTGAAAATCTGAATCATAATGACATAATGATTAATTCAACTAAAATATTAATAGAAAGAAATAAAAATATATTTCATTAAACAAATAGATGATAGTTTATAAATGTACATGTCATTATTTTATTATTCATCCAAATATTGCTGGCCTATCAACTGGAAACTTTGACATGCATAATAAGAATTCAATTCCAGGGAGGCTGAGGTAGGCGGATCACAAAGTCAAGAGATAGAGACCATCCTAGCCAACATGGTGAAACCCTGTCTCTACTAAAAATACAAAAATCACCTGGGTGTGGTGGCATGTGCCTGTAATCCCAGCTACTCAGGAGGCTGAGACAAGAGAATCACTCAAACCCAGGAGGCAGAGATTACAGAGGGCTGAGATCATGTCACTGCACTCCAGCCGGGTGACATAGCAAGACCCATAGCAAGAAAAAAAAAAAAAAAAGAATTCAATTCTATTGTCTTTCATATTTGGCCAACACTCAATTATATAAAAATTATAGCTTCATACACATATATATTTAAAATATTGTTGTAAAGGGACATACCTGTTCTAATTTAATGTGACCAGTAAGAACAGTGTCACCCAATATAAGCACAGTTACCAGGGAATCAACTCAGTGTGCCTGGGAGCATTTTCCAAAGAAAATGCTATGAATCCCCACATGCCATTGAGACTTATCTATTATACTACTTCTCATGGTGTATCAGTTGTTTTCTGTGTGCTGGTCCATTCCAACAGAGCACAAGCTCTTTAGGGGTAAGGACTATAACTTTTCATGTTCGTTTCTAATATCTAATTCAGACAGAGTCTTCTGCATAGAAAGTACTTAAACATTTATTAAATGAATCAATGAATTCACAAATAGATTAAATTTCTGACAAATTCAGAGCTTCTAATACTCATATCACCTATTAACATTATCATATATAATATTCTATATTACATAATAATATTATAGAGTTCAGTATAATTTCTTTACATCTTAATGCATCAGAAAGAGCTTTACTAAGCCATTGATACTGAAATTAAAAGAAATCCACATTCACGTTCTTGCTAAATGTTAATGATACTCAAACCTAAAGAAGTCATGAATCAAGTGAGATGTGATGGTTTCAGACTTGAATAACATTTTCCTAATTGAATTTTTTAACTATAAATATGGCAATGCTAAGTACAACCAATATAAACACAAAAGATCATAAAGTAAAAAATAAAAATCTCCTGCCCTCTCAATCATATAGTCCAAGAGGCGACTACATCTAACAGTTCGGTGGATTTCTATCCAGATATTTTTGATACCTTGAAAATATTATTTTCCACACACTCACAAAAGCCACAGGTAATTTTTTTTCTATTCTTTCCTTTTCTTTCTTTCTTTTTTTAACCCAAACTTGAATTGTAGTCTCTAGATTGTCTTGCAACTCATTTTCATCACTTAAAAATATTATGCTGTAAACATCTTGCTAGACAGGTTTTACAATGTTGTCTTCAGGTTATTCAGACACTGGATAGCAAGAAATGTTTAGAGTTCATTTTCAACATGTAATTATAAGTACTTAAGGAAAACAGGACTATATTATTTCAGTTGAACATCTCACCAAGCTCTTCTCACATTTATTTTCTTGATAATCTCTTGAAATGCTGGTTTGGTCTTGAAGTTCTTGATTATTGAAGCTCAAGTCTCACTGTGACATCACTTGGGAAGTCCAGGCTTATCCGGCTTATCCATGAACAGAAATTGCCCTGGGGATTTCAGATCTACCTCATTTGGAAAATTCAGAAAATTATGTAGAAATCACATCAAGAAACCTTTGATTTGAAAGTGAACTCATTTATTAACTTTTCTATACATTTTTAAAAAGGAAAGTGTGTATGTAGAAGCGTTTTCTTTTTTAAAAAAAGTGCTGCAGGGCTGAAAATATCATTTTCACTTTCATTTAGTCGGGCAAAGAGTTAACCCCCAATAAACAAACTACCATGTAACCAAGTAAACATAAGATAGTCAATTTTACTTAGAAGTTGTTTTCAGTATTTTATTGGAGCTCAGCTGAAGGGGAAGCTAGACATTTGGCTAGCTACCTTCAACATAACAATAAAGAAATCAACACATCTGTTCTATATCTGGCCAGGCTCTGTGGCCCCCTCAAAATCTGACACATTATTATGCTTCTCTGGGCTTCCGTTATGTCATTTCTAAAACAAATGTGTTGGACGAAAAGATCTTACTGCTTTCTAAAATTACAATTCAACCAAATGATGACTTCAACCAAAACTATAATTCTCTAGTAAGGATAATTTGGTCTATGTTTCCTCGCATTGAACTAATATACAGTTTTTTAAAATAATTTTTAGGGGAAATTATGAGATATGTCCCCTAATAATTTAGAAATATGATGTGATGTCCATTACCGTCTCAGAATTAAGCTATGAAGTTAATTCAAAATGGACCAAGACAGAAAGATGAAAAGTTTGACTGAAAATATTAGCACATGTAAAGGAGGGATGTATCAAAAGAAAGTTTTTTGCCACCTCCGTCTTCCCCCATCTCTCCACCAGGGAAAATACGAAAGGGTGTAAGGAATAAGGGAGGCACAGAAGAGAGGGAAGGGTCAAAGTCAATGGGAGGTGAGTGTGGCTGCTGTCCTCACCTGGTGCTCTTAACTGCTGGAGACACCAATGATCTTGCTCACACGTACTGCTCACACGCTCAGCCAGCTAACTGCAAGAACCATTCGCCATCCCCTGAGAAAGTAAACATTCCTCCAGTCATCCATCAGTTTAGAATAACAGACATGATAAAGCCAGCAACAACATTTATGGGAAACAATATTCCTCCCAAGGACCACAGCTATAAAGTGTCACCCAACCTTCCTTCTTCTTTGAAGGATTACTGCCTTCTTACTCATGAAGAAACATGTTTATCTAATATCATAGACTATCAAAATGTCACGTTTGAAATAGTATTAGTAGGGATGAAATACTCCATTCTTGCCCGGAGGATCTCAGTCACCTTGACCCAGTGAAGCAGCCTCCATTTCCAAGTCAGTTGTAGAGCTTCAGATAAGGGGTGTCTAGACACTATATTCACCATCAATCTTGACTTTGTAGTTTTTAAGGAAACAGGGCCTGAAGTCCATGTCATGGTCTAGACTTGATATTGATCCTCTACTCACAGTCTTGTTTTGTTTTGAGCCTATCAAAGCACTGCTTCATTTAATGTTCACTTTAATTCCACCCTTCCTTCAAATTCTATAATAACTCAGCTTTTTCCTTGTTTGAAAGTGGTTCTATAAACTTAATTTTTCAGACTTCAGGTCTGTTCCTTTCGGTTCTAGGCTGATGGGCCTGATGGGCTAGGACATCTTGTAGATCTACCATAGTAGAGAATGCTCTGTGTGATTATTATATTTCTCATTATGAGTTAATTCCTTCAAATTTTAAAAAATGTTGATTCTTGCTTATAGTAGATCTGCCCCCAAGAGATAGACCCACTATTGGGAAACAAGAAAATCATTTAATTTTTAGCCCATCAGGTGTCAAAGCACTATATCTTTAAATAAGTAATGAATGAGCACTTGGTGGGCTTTAGAAGACAGCCCCAGAGACCACCTTGTGTGGGCAAGGATATATTCCTCTAACTTCTACACCTTCCAGAATGTTCTGTCATCTTTGATGACCATAACACTACATACTGATACTATTATGGCTCACTGAGCTGCAGAAATTTGGAAGAAATTTTGTCTGTGGAAATAATAAAATTGACACGAAAATTTGGAGGCAGAAAGTGTTTCATGATTTGGAGATCAATTTATTAAAAAAAAAGTTTTTAAACAGAAAAAGAAATTCACAAAGCATCCTCCCTAGGGTTTCTCTAAACACAGAGATTCCGTTGAGTACGTTTTTCCACACTGGCCTTTGTTTGGCACTTTGTTTCTGTGGAGAGGCTGCAGGAACTGCTCTGGGGCTGAAATGGGTCCTGACTTCAAACTGAACAGCGTGTTCAATATTTTGTTTGAATATGATTCGCTACCAAAAAAGAAAGTTTGGAAATCACTGATATAGCTCTGCTTTTATATCATCTATTATATAAGCAGAACACACTGATTTTAGAATCACAATAACCGTCAATGTTCCCAATTGCCCATGTGGGGAAAAAATGTTGTTCTCAAGAACTTTGGCTTTGAACGGGTGGTTGGGAGCGCACTGGGACTAGAGCATAGTTCCAACCTTTCTGGTTTACGTAAATTGGGACGAGGAAGATATCATGATGAAATTTAGTTTCTATCCAACAGAGGGCAGTCGTAAAACTGTTAGCTTGGAAAGAATGTGGCCCTGAAGGAGTGAGAACTGAGGATAGGCATGGTAAGTTTGGAAGCAGAAAATGAGCATAAATGTCATTTGGCTTTTTCTTTTTGCCTAGAATCAAATAGGCGCATTGTTTTGTTCAGTGCCCAGAGGTTCAATACCATTCTTTTCTTGCCTTTCACTCATCAGCTTAGCCACCCACCTATACTGCCTTCTTTTTCTGCTGGAAATAGGAGTTTTCTCTTTGAGATCCAAGTTAACAGCTGCCCAGAAGGCCCCAGGACTCTGATGAGCAATGAACCCTTGATGTGACTGCTCTCTCCCGGGCTTTGGGATGCATGTAAGGTTCTCTGGGAGACAGGATGGGAACCGTGCTGGCCCTTGCACTGGGTGTGAAGAGCACATCACTATTTACAACTTTGGGCTTCAGTTCAGTCCTGAAAGAAGCATTAAATTTGCAAATGGTAGTAAGCTCTGCCTAATGAAAGATGGCATCAATTAAACAGCGTTGTGTTGTGTGTTTAACCTATATCTCCAAGAACACAAAAACAAAAATCACAGTAGAAACTTCTAACATTAATATCATGCATAAATATTTACTATGTAATATAACAAAGATATTTCCTTAAAAAGCACTAAAGAATTTTGAAATTAGGCATCATGTGCTCATTTTTCTATACATTACAATTTTTTTTTTTTGATAGTAGAATGAATGATGGCTGTGAAGAGGCAACTCAGCTGGGATTCTCAAATCCCCAGATACCATGCCTGGCTCTGCTGTCGATGAGGGTGTGTTTCTTATCCTTACTGAGTCAGTTTCCCTCCAACTTGAAAATTTTAAGAATCTGTCACTATTGATTCTCGTGTCTTAAGTGTGGACTAAGCAGCTTAATCCAACGCAGTTGTTGGAACTTCATGTTAATGTTAGAGTAGGGGTTAACAAACTAGACCCATGAGTCAAATTTAGTCTTTTGCCTGTTTTGGTAAATAAAATTTTATTAAAACAACCACACCTAGTCGTTTATACATTGTCTAGAGCTGCTTTCTCAGTACTCAGTACGTTGGTACTGAGAAAGCTGCAGTTCCACAATACTGTGGAATAGTTGCTACGAGAGCTTGTGTCCCACAAAGCCTAAAATACTTATCCTTTGCAGAAAAAGTTTGCTCACAGCTGCTTTAGAGAAATTAAATGTGATTCTTTAAAGGAATCATCAACAACAAAGAACTTATTTCATCTCCCTACTAAAATATTATAGAATGATCAGAAAAGGAAATCAAGAGAAAAAGAAGCATTGGGTCAACCAAAGGAGAACCCAGCTACAATCTTTACTGCCAGTTGAATATTGCTTCATACGTTATTATTATCATTAGTAGTAGTAGTAGTAGTAGTATTTGAGATGGAGTCTCACTTTGTCACCCAGGTTGGAGTGCAGTGGTGTATGATCTTGGCTCACTGCCACCTCCGCCTCCTGGGTTCAAGCAATTCTCCTGCCTCAGCCTCCTGAGTAGCTGGGGTTACAGGTACACAGCACCAAGCCCTGCTAATTTTTGTATTTTTAGTAGAGATGGGGTTTCACCATGTTGGCCAGGCTGGTCTTGAGCTCCTGACCTCAGGTAATCTGCCCACCTTGGCCTTCCAAAGTGCTGGGATTGCAGGTGTGAGCCACTGCAGTTGGCCACTTCATACATTATTAATTGAAAAAAGGATAAAGAAGTAAAATGTTTAATTTTTATTATTTCTTTTTCTCGAGTTTAATCACACTTCTTTTAGGCTTGAACTAACGTTTGTAGGCAGAGAGTCAGTAGCTGCATAGAAGGGAAGCATGCATTCGGTTTTCATTTCATTATTACTGTGGCCCTTCCATGGATTCTGTCCCTGGTGCTCCTTTCTGCAATCTCTCCAAATAGGAGTTACAATTCTAAGAACACATTAAGCCTTCTCCCAGTCATTGTATAAATTCAGGATATTCTTCTTTCATTTGTCTGAAAACACAATTTAAGCATCAGCTTCTTGGTTACCTGCCTCTAGACAAAACAGTACCTTGAGCCTACCAGAGACTACATATCTGCTGCACGTATCATGGGTTGTGACTTTTTTTTCTAAAGAGCAGATCTTCCACGGCAGGGCCAATGTCTCTGCAGTTTGCCCTTTCCCCAACGTCACAACATGAATGCTTGAGTTGCAGGTTCAAGACAGGAAAAATGGGACAGGTGGCGCCTTATCAATTCCCCTTTAATAGGAAATCCGAAAGCTTTCTCTGAAGCTTCCAGCAGGTTAAGCTTTCTTCTCATTGGCTAGACCTGTATCTCCTGGCTCCACCTAGTGGCTAGCATGTTTTCCTGGGGACATCCTTGCCCTAAAAAAATTGGGGTGTTGTTAGCACCTGAGAAATGAGACAAGGGATCGAGGGAAGGCAACTAGCAACATAGACCACAAGATTGTAGAACTCACCTTGGATAAAGTGAATCACATAGACAAACGTGGATATAAAAATAAATAAAAATAATTTTTTGGCGAGGCGCAGTGGCTCATGCCTGTAATCCCAGCGCTTTGGGAGGCCAAGGCAGGTTGATCACAAGATCAAGAGATAGAGATCATCCTGGTCAAAATGGTGAAACCCCGTCTGTTTTAAAAACACAAAAATTAGCTGGGTGTTGTGGTACAGGCCTGTAGTCCCAGCTGCTGGGGAGGCTGAGGCAGGAGAATCGCTGGAACCTGGGAGGCAGAGGTTACAGTGAGCCAAGATCGTGCCACTGCACTTCAGCCTGGAGACAGAGCGAGATACTGTCTCAAAATAATAATAATAATAATTTTTTTGTCCAGTCCTTTGGGAGGCCAGGGGTTTGAGAACAGCTTGGGCAACATATCAAGACACTATCTCCACAAAAAAAGTATATAAAAGTTAGCCAGGTGTGGTGGTGTGAGCCTGTAGTGCTAGCTACTTGGGAGGCTGAAGTGAGAGGATCACTTGAACCCAGGAGTTCAAGTCTGCAGTGAGCTATGATCGTACTGGTGCACTCCAGCCTGGGCAACAGAGTGAGACCCTGCCTCCAGTAATTTTTTGTATTGTGTTTAATGTTATGGGAATTATTCACTAACCCAACAAATATGTGTTAAACACCCAAAATGTTATAGGTCTAAGGACTCTTCTCTGGACCCATTTTGATTCAAAATGATCTAACCTAAATCAAATAATGAAGATATGTATATCTTAATATTCTTTACAGCATACCACATTGGTCAAAACCAGTCAATTCTTTTAACAGTCACGTTGAATGAAGGAAAACACATAGAAAAACAAAGATGTTGAGTAATGAAGTGGAAACAGAGCCCCACCCCACCCCCTACCAATTCACTAGGTCAATTAATGACTGAAAAGGCTTTTCCTAAAATTTAAAAACAAATTGACTTGAGACTGAGATTAAG